GAGCACCTCAATCATAAGGCTGAACAGTCATTAAACAGGTCATTAAATGAGGAGTATCTGTACATTCACAATGTTGTGCAACCATCACCACCACCTAGTTCTAGAACATTTTCATCAATCCATTAGACTGTCACTCCTCATTTTTCACTTTCCTCAGCCCCTGGCAACCATTAATCTGCTTTCTCTCTCTATAAATTAGCTTCTCCTGGATATTTCATATGAATGGAATAATACATAGCCTTTTTTGTCTGGCTTCTTTGATGTAGCATGATCTTTTGAAGGTTCATCTATATTTTAGCATGTATCAATAATTCATTTCTTCTTAAAAGACTTTGTTCTTTATAGCATTTTTTGATTTACAATAAAATTACACATAAAATACAGAGTTCCCATGTGTCTTTAGTTACTTTTGGCATTGCTGAGCCAAAACACCCAACACCCAAAGTTAAAGGAGGAAAAGTTTATTTTGCCTCATAGTCTGTAGAAGTTTCAGTCCATACTCAGTTGCCTGTTTTGTTGTTGTTGTTCATTTTGGTACTGGGGATCATACTTGGGATCTTTCGTTTGCGAGGCAGACGGCGAAACCACTGAGCTAAATCCCTGGCCCCAGTGTTGCCTATTTTTAAATTGGATTGATTTCTAATAGTTGAGTTTTAGGAGTTCTTTGTATATTTTGCATACCAGTCCTTTATAAGATAAGATATTTTGCAAATATATTTTCCTAGTGTATTATCTTTCTGTTACAGTAACACATACCTGAGGTAAATTAACCTATAAGGAGGAAGTTTTATTTTCACAGCTGGTTTCAGAGCTTTTAGTTCATGGTCACTTTGGGGGCTGTGCAGAGCAGTAAGTATATTATGGTGGAAATACATGGCTGAGGAGGCTATTCACGTCATGGTGGCCAGGAGGCAAAAAGAGACAAGACAGGAAGGGCCCAAGGTCCTAATATCCCCAAATTACTTCATCCCCTAGGCCCCAACTACTAAAGGTTCCACTACCTCCAATAGCACTATTGTCTGAGAGCCAAGCCTTTAACAAAGAGGCCTTTGGGGGATATTTCACTTACAAACCATAACACCCAATATGTGGCTTATTTTTTCATTCCTTATCAGTGTCTTTTATGGAACAGACATTTTAAATTTTAGGAAGTCCTCTTTTACAAGTTTTTCTTTCATGAATCATGCTTTTGGTGTTGTTTTAAAAACTCACCACCAAACCCAAGACGATTTAGATTTTGTGTTGTGTTATCTTTAAGAAGTTTTGCAGTTTTTTTGTTTTACATTTAAGTCTATAATCTACTTTATAATTTTTGTGAAAGTTATAAAGATTGTGTCTAAGTCCTTCCCCTCCTCAGTACTGGGAATTGAATCCAGGCCCCTGTGTATGCTGGGCCAGTATTCATTGTTTTAAAATTATCATCATCATCATCATCATCATCATTATTATAGCCATCCTAGTGGGTATGAAGTGATATTTTGTGGTTTTGATTTGCCTTTCCTTAGTGGCTAATGATGTTGAGCATCTTTTCATCATCAGCAGCAGCAGCATCATTATCATTATAGACATCCTAGTGGGTATGAAGTGATATTTTGTGGTTTTTGATTTGCCTTTCCTTAATGGCTAATGATTTTGAGCATCTTTTCCTGAGCTTATTAGTCATTTGTGTATCTTCATTGAAGAATTAGCTATTCAAATCCTTTGTCCATGTTGTTGGTTGGGTTTTCATTGTTATTGTTGGGTTATAGATTTTTATGTATTAAGGATATGAATTTCTGATTAAATATATGATTTACATTTGACAAATTTGCCCATGTAGCCAACATCCCAATAAGGCATAGAACATTTTTATCCCAGAATGTTACCTCCTGGTTTTTCCAGTCAATATACCACCCTAGATTCAATTACACTTCTCATTTCTACCACCAAAGACTTGTTTGGCCTCCTTTTGAGTTTCCTACAACTAGAATCTTATAGTACATACTCTGTGTCTGGCCTCTTTCTCTCAGTGTGATGTTATATTGTATGTACAGGTAGTTTATTCTTGCATATTTCTGAGTAATATTCCATTGTATGACTATACTGCATTTTGGTTTTTTCCAAATATCTTAATATTTCA